CCCATGCGTGGCGTGGGAATTCTGGGAGTTGAAGTCCACACATCTTCAAGCTGCCAAGGTGGAGAAACACTACTTTAGAAGATGTATACATAAAATGAACACTATTTGAATTGATGGAAGGGCAGGGGGAAAGGAATGAGAGACAGAAAAATTGTGAATTCAGAAAAAGTAAACTTAGGTACTGAGAGATTAATAAAGAGGTATGTGTTTCATATACCCTACAGCTCCTCCCCTAGACACGACTGGGTCATGACCGTGATTTCCTGAAAAGAAGAAGGTTAAGGTATGAGTCCATTAAGTTGGTGGAAAACATCTGAACAGGAATGTTGAGATTCGTTCAGTCATATATATGATCTACAAAAAAGCCATGCTACATCCTTTGCCATTTTTATTGTCCTCATGACCCATTTTTATGTATAGAGCTTACATGCTAGAAGACTGAATGAATGAATCTTGGGAATGTTCACGTTGGTTGGTTGGTTAGTTAGATTTATATAGCTGCCCATCTCACATGGTAGGCAGCTGTAGGCAGCTTATAATAAAATAAATAAAATACACAATATAAAAACCACATAGCAGCTGGACATCGTCCATCCAGTCTGCCTGGTAAGGTGTTCATCTACTTCTCTAATGAAACATCATTCAGGAAAAAGATTCTGAAAAAATGGTTGCAATTTTTTTCCTGTTCCTGACGTTCATATCCAAAAAGGTTACTGTAGAAAGCTACTTGTCAAAATTAGGACTTTGACCTATCCTATGTACCTTCCTAGTGGACCAATGCTACAACATCAAGGTACACTTGAGAATGAAGTGTCCTATTGGCCATGTTGTCATCGTGAGGAACTTTTTCTTTTTTTTTCTTTTTTTTTTTTGCTCCTGCTCCTACATTAAGAAAATCCCAATACACAGTATAGGACATCATATGTGGGAATGTTTCTTATTTTGGAAATTGCTCATCTTCACAAAACAATATATATTCCAAATTATGCTTCACTGTAGATCTGCCATAATGGGCTGCATACATATACACTCTCTGTTGCACCTGTCCCAAATATAAAGGTCCCCATTCTTTTCCCAAGGAACTCAAACATTTTGGTTTCCCAACCACTATGTTAAATAAATCTGAAGTCCATCCCATGCTTTGCCTTTAACCATTAGGTGTTTTTCTCTTCCAGAGAATGTCATGTCCGTGTTTCTTTTGTTGATTCTTAGTGGCAGGCATGATATGGTAGTTTGACCACTTCTCTATGAAGGTCCATAGAGTTTTCAGTCCAGTTGATAAGATCACCACCAAGGGAACTACTGCAGGTTGCCATCTTGTAAATTTCACCAGGGGTCACAATATAGCTCCACATGTTGAAATCGGAGATTTCCCCAATGAAAGCTTGAGTGGCATCAAAGCGGCCACCAAGAGTGTCCTGTGGAAGAAGAGTGCAACGAATAGCGTATTCAGAAGAACCAAGCATGACTCACAGATAGTGACAGAACTTAAAGTGAGAGGGCTATTTACCTGCTCCTGGCCTAGTATGAGAACACCCCCAGGTTTCACCGGATGCCAAGGAGCCAGGTTCTCCCCACTCCCTCTTTGGACACCATCCTGGTAAGATTCCCATTTGCCATTCCTAGTTGACCATGTCACACAGATGTGATGCCATTTGGCATCATTAATGGCCAATGGCAATGTTGCAACCTACAAAGTAAGGAAAGAAGAGTTCAGATAAAGGTGGGGATGAGCAAACCTGCGAGTTATAAACAAAAACATAGCAAGGCATTGAACATGACACCTTCTTTAAATATATCTGCTACACAAGTTAACAAACAATTGGATTAGGTCAGAGTTATCCCCAATCCCCGTTTTGCTCCCATACCTTATCATTGATGAGCAACTCCGTGGGGTTATTTCCCCATTGAATAAGTACCACTTCATTGGCTTGGCCAGGCACTGAGTAGGAGAAAGGTGTGCCTATCCCTGGGGCTGAACTTGACTTGAGCCAGAGACAGATGGACAAGGCAAAGATTTCACGGTGCAGAGTGTGCTTGATCTTGACATACATGTAGTTGGTGCGAAGGGGGAAACCCACCTGAAAATGTTCAGAATGCTTCTCTAACTTGTTCCCTGGAGGACAGAAGGAAGCAGAAATGTGGCACTGAGCTGCAGCACAGAGAAATGGAGAGGAAGTGGATCATCCATACGCTGCCAACTGATCTGCTGACCTATCAAGAATTGATTCTCCAGAGTTGCTACTCTCTGTCCATTAATGGAATCCCATGACCACTGTCAACTAGCCGAGGTTCGTGTACTTGACCAAATTTTCTTTTCTTAGCTACCTGGCCTCCATTTCATTCTCTCTGATGCTTTTCTTGACTTAGATTTGGTGATGTAAGGATCTTAAGGCAGAAGTCTCTTCTTTTATTCTTTATAAAACACAAATAGCACTACATTAAAAAAAAAATGCTAACATTCATACATCTCACATTTTTTAGCTGTCAAAACACTGTCATACTGTTTCTATCATTATTCATCAAGATCGTCGCTGTTCCACATCAATCACATGTGGCTGCTTTTATGAATAAGCTATATTTTCAGTCAACATTCATTCCCATTTCTTTCATTCTACCCATTGGCCTGTCTCTCCAGTAGGATAATGAGATATTTGAAATGTTCCTCAAACTATCATTCTCTTCTATCCATCTTTGTGCCCATCTCTTTTCCTAATGATTATGTGATTGTACACTACTCAGATTCTTCAGAATTGGAGAAGCATATAAGTATAGCAAATAAATAGATAATCCATCAAATATTTAAATCTACTTACTCAACCACTGAAAGGTTCATTAACATATTTACCTAAACCATTTATTTAATAGTTTATTTAAAATCAGGGTTAAATGAAAGCAACCTACAAGCCTTTTGAAGTTCTGGACTTAACATTTCTCATAATCCTTTGTCACTGGCTATGTTGATTGGGTCTGAGGAGAATCAAAATCTAAACTAGGTTAGAGTGGGACTACTCAGATTCAAATTTCCATATGAAAACACTTTCAGCCAGTCACTGTCTCTCAGGTTTAGCTATCTCATAGAATCACCCGTGAAGACAAGCAGAGATTTTTGAGAGAAAATGAGGTAGAAAAGCAGTATGCACACATTAAATCATTGTAGTTCTCCATTTGTCTCAGAACTAATTATATCCTTATGTCCGCCTTCTCCAACCCAATGCCCTGTCCTACTATTCAGGCAGTATGACCCAAAATCTTATGTTTGGGAATTAGTGGATTATAGTCTCTCATAACTGGAGGGCATCACTGGGAAAGGCTACTCTTATTGCCATTTCTCCACCCCTCTACAAACTTGCCAACAAGCACCTAAACATCTAGCGTCTTGACTATCCATCTACTTGTCATTAAACCCACCTTTTATCATCAACTTTTTCTATTTAGCTGTTTATTTAATTTACCTTCCTTCCATCTATCCATCCATTTTTACCCCATGAATGTAGACCAAAGTCTCCTTTCTCTACCAACACAACAATGAATTTTTTTTGATACCTTAAAAATTAATCATATTATTTCAAAGCTTTTGAAAGTATCACAAGACTCAATTGTTTTTATTTGCAAGAGGGTTGCAACACTACTCACCTGGAAGCTCAGGTTTAGTCACTCACCTTTCTCCCCAGTGTGTCCATGAGAAACATGTCTCTGTCTCATCCCAGTCGTTCTTGGTACACCATATGTGTGATGTTCTGAAGTGTTTGATTTCTCATGGATCTGACGTTCCAAAATGCTTATCTTTTCCTGAAGAGCATCCCACAGGGACATGGAGAAGGTTGAACTATTCCAATTGTGCTGGAGAAGTCAGGGCAAGCGCTCACATTAATTTCAAATTTTCTGCCATTTCTCTGGACCCTTCTCCTAGACCACCTCTAATGTGCTGCCCCTCTCTTCCTTAAAATTCCATCTGAAAGCCATTATTAAGCATTTTGTATCATTCTTGAGTTCCTATATGTTGCCCAAGCCGAATTTTAGATTGTACCTGCTGAACACAATAATGCTGTGTTTTCTTCTTGTCTGAAATGACATTCCCATTGATGGTGCTAATCACATCATCTATTCATGTTCTGTACCTCGTTATTATTCCTATTAACCCATTTGCAATGCAGTCCTACGCATGTCTGTTTAGTCTTCTTGAGCTCGATGGGTCTTCCTTCCATTGCAAGTGTGCAGAGGATGGTAGACTTAGCCAACTTCCTGCACTAACCCTGTCATACAACAAAGAACCTCATGGAGCTCCAGAGGAAGAACAGCTGAAAGGAGGAACTTTTGCTAGTTTTGCAAAAGCCACACGAAGATCATTTTGAATAACTTTGCTCCATCTGAAACTTCAACAGAATCAAAAGTGAACCTGAGCATCTTAACTCCTCATACTTTGTATCTATGTTTGTGTGTGTGTGCGTGTGTGTGCGTGCGTGCGTGTGCACATCATGCTCTTTCATTTCTAGGTAAGCAAAGTTATGCCAATTGCAAAGCAAGGAATAAGAAATAGTAAGCTAAAGAAATTAAAAGCATGACATAAGGAAGAGAAAGGAAATATAGCAAAATCTAGTTTATACAAACACCATTCACTATACTTCCCCGTATCTTTCTTCCTGCAAGCCATCCCTGCTTCCACCATATCTGCATTTTCTTCATCACTGTCTTTTGTTCTCTGGCTTGTGATTTTCTCATCCAAATGTTGTTATTGATGTTGTTATTGATAGTTATTAATAGGAGCTTAAATAATTACTTTTAAACTATCCCTTACATCCCATACATTGTCCAAACTAACACTACGGTAGGTAGGTACATTAGAAAGATTAGAAGAAGCGGCAGGAAGGTTTGTTGTGAGTAGGTAATTCTGGTAGGAGTTTGAGTGGAGGGGCATTTAGCTTTTATCAGGGAAGGTAACAGCATTCATTGGAATTGTTTGATCTGATAATATACAAGGAAGAAGAGAGGATTGCATGAAGGATCATAC